AATAATTTCATTAATCCTAGACCCTCGACAGTTTGGTTTTCTTGATATCATACTAGCTGGCCCTGTAAACTTGTTACGGTCTTAGAATTATTAAATGTCGAGTTGAGTTATTAACTAAGTTATGTCAACTTTTGTATATTTATCGTTTATGAAGCAACTCGGGCTAGGTTTTCATGCTCAAGCAGTGGATTTTGTGCCAGTAGATTGATACTAAAAACAGTAAAAAATATATTTCATGGATATATACTATAAACATGCTAATTTCCATTATTTACAATTGTTTAATAATTATTATAGAATTATAACATTTTCAGAGAGAGAATCACAACGGTTACGGGGACCAGTTGTTTTTTTCAATGGTAATTATTTTTGTTTACTAAGTTTTTCGTGTTTTGTGTTATACTGAAATATGTAATTTTTTATGAAGTTCTCTATTTGTTTTGTTCCTAAGAACTCTACTTTGTATATGTATAGGTTGAAATAATAGATAAGGCAAAATTGTAAAATCAACTTAGGTTGGTATACCTGTATGGTTGGTACGCCTGGATGGTTTACCTGTATGGGTTACCTTTATAGCATAAATAGGGTTAGCTTGCATCAGTTTCTATTAGTTTTAATCTTCCTCTTTGAAGATGATCACTACATGAAAGCTACAAATCATATGATATGATACAATAAATGTAATGTTAAAAATATCGTTTTTACCTTCTATAACCGTCATTTCAACACCTCTTGAAGATGATCACTTGGTGATCGAAACACGTGTCGAGGTGTTAAAAATAGCAGTTTGGTGTTGGGATTAAACTCCAGTAATATTCATAACCACACCAAAGATTCCAAACAGTGCATCACAGTTCTACTTTAAGGTTTTTTGAAGGTCATTGTTCTGATTATTTCATAGTTTTCTTCTTTCTGATGATTTGTAGGTGGTTAATAGATATTAGTAAACTTTTACTGCAATGAATTATATTTTTGATGAAACTTACTTTCATACTGGATTACTGAGTTTTTTTACAAAAAAATTGTCTGATTCATTCAAATATGCAAGAAATTGTGCCAAGAAGAGAAATCAAGTTACACACATAAAAATTTGAGATAAATATTTAATTAATAGATAATATCACAGACCATACAATAAATAACAACATAAATATTTAAAACTAAGAATATCAGTCATTTTTCGTTTCGAATATTATCAGTCAGTAGATGTTGATTGCCTAAAATCGATATTTTTCTTCAACATTATGATCGAATCTGAAAATTTCGTAAATAATGATTTCAGAGTTTTTAAACGTTCACAAATATTTAACCAATGAAAAGATTGATCATTAGTAATGAGTTGAAACATTCAATTCTAGTGAAATCAGGAAACATCATTTTCATTTGATATTAGCTTTTTGATTCATTTGACAGGAACATGATGTATGATTCGTCGCCGTGATTTCTATATGCTTAACAACTGCTCCAAAAACAACTAGAAAAGTGAGAGGAACTTCTTCATCTGTCTGGGCTGAACAGGTCTTGTTTCCCTTGCAACAACCGGAAGACTCACATCGATGCAATACCGTCATCTCGGGAAAAATCTAAAAAAGAGAATTCGTTTGTACTTTTTATATAAAAAAAAAATTAAAAGATCCCTACGAAAATTGTAACGATGACACTTAACGATATGAAAACGCTAGAGGAAGCTATTGTATAGCGGTTTTGTAAACTGAAAATCTCAAAGTGGAGAATTACTTGTAAACTGAGGAATCAAAAAGTATTCTATTAAAGTCATTACTCAATGTGACATGCTTAAACTATTGATAAGGTGTAAAGTAATGAATAACATATATAAAGGTCGTTAGGGTTCAAAAAGAAAGGGGAGTAACGATGCTATTCAAAGCTGCAATCAATTATTGACAAATATTCCAAAAATATAAAAACAAATTAAATGATCATGCATCTAGCGATAAAAAACAAGCATAAAGATAAACAAATTTGAACAAACACTAAAATAGAATTCCACAATTTTTACACTTCACACTATTTTACTACCTACTTGATTTTGTGTTGACTTACCTTTACATTTTTAGGTAATTCGTCTTCATATTGAGCAATTTCCTTTGCAGAAATGGCTCTCCTTTGGGGTGTATTGCAAGTAAACTGTTCCCTTTTTATCATATCCAAGTGCTTAGTATATTCATTCGGCTTGCTAATAACGTAGGAAGAAGCACAATCGAATAAACACAAAACAGTCGCGAGTACAACACCTTGGAAAATATGCATTTTGAATGTGATAGTTTGAATTACTGCTCTTGCGTGTTTCTCACGAAGACGTGGACAATGAATGAATGTAATAATCGAGAAGTAGCCTTATTTTATATGCGAGAACAGGCGACTTCGCTTTCATCTACGATCTCATTCATGCTTTGCGGTTGGGATTTGGTTTGTACGGGGAAAACACATGGTAATGGAAAACCTATGAAATCAATTACAATACTATTTACAAACGAATAATTTTTTTGAGGACGATTGACGAATATTGATTGGGCAAAAAACATATCTTTATAACAGGACGTTTAGATATTCCTTTGATGGTTTTCCAAGTGACATTACGCACCCTGCCATCCTATCCTGGATGTATGTCCGACACCACGGCCAAGGACCAATATGCAAGCGAGGAGCGTTATCTAGTCCGATCAATTTAGACATTCGAAACATACGTTACCAGGCCACCTATGAGTGGCCTGGAAACGTATGTTTCGAAACTATTGCAAAATAATGAATATCAGCAGAGATTGAAAAGATAAAAGTAATCGTTAAAAAAAGTAGTGGAATTTAATCGTCCGAGTCGCAACTTTCAAAAACTTTTCCTTGGTCTTCTTATTGTTGTTCGTCTTGTTTTTCTTTATCTTCATCCTGAGTACATATAAACTGCGTTAATAGCGATGTACCGCATGTCGCCTCGTTGGAATCAAACGGGTCCTCCACTGTTGGTGATTCAATATTAGAGCACGACCGGCCTTGACAATGTGTACATGCCAGAAAAAAAACAGTTTTTTTGCAACCACTTTGAGCATTGCACCCCTTTTTGTAGTTGTAAAAAATTGTGCTCATCAGTTTTCCGGCGCAAGTGGAAGTAAAGTTTGGGCTGGTTCTAATGAATTGTTAACCAACTTCCAACCCCAGTCTGTAGAGTCTAGCTGATAACCAAGCCACACTTGAACTCAAATCAAATCAAATCAAATCAAATTTATACATCATTTTTGATACAAGAATGTATATATGACACGTCAAATTTTACAAAAGATATTTTATCTAATATCACTTATATCAATAATTACACATGTTACACAAAAATATTATTTTCATACTCTTTCAGGTAATAAAAACAACTTGTTACCAAAAAGTCTTTGACTTTATTCTTGAATTTGACAAAATTTGTTTCACTTCTAATGCTGTGTGGTAATAAGTTAAAATATTTTGTCCCGGCATAAGGTGCGAAGCTTTGTACTCATTACCGTTTATTTTTACCTGATGGAAGTCGTTTCTCCATCTCGTTTGATGAGAGTGAAATTTCTCATATTTCGTAAAGATAGTTACTTGGTAATGTGAATGTTTTTTGTCTTGGAATGTTTTTTTACAAGATTCTCTGTATTTGAGATCAAAAATTAGTTTAATGAAGCGTTTTTGCCTTATAAATATTCTATTTATTTCTGATGAGTGTCCCCAAATGATAATATTTATATTAAGCTTAGAATACACTAGACCATAATATATATCCAAGAGATTATGTCTCAAAAAATTTGATTTCACTGTTAAGAAGGCAAAATACGTTTTTTTCAGAGAAGTGCACAAGTACTCGATGTGATTATTGAAAGACAATTTATTGTCAAGTTGTGTTCCAAGGAATTTTGTATATTCTGTTGTTTCGAAACCTAGATTTATTTGGAGAGGGCGCTGATACTTACTTGAAAACTGGATAAATGTTGTTTTATCTTTATTATTTATTGAATGATTGTTTCTACACCAATATTCGAATTCACTGATTACTAGTTTCGTTTTATTTTCAATTTCATTTAGATCTGGGGACGTCACAAAGATTGTTGTGTCATCGGCATACCCTCTTTTATGTTTTCGGGTAGTTCATTAACATAAAGTAAAAATAATAGTGGTCCAAGCACCCCTCCCTGTGAGGTCCCCATATTCATATGAAATTGATCTGAATAATTGTGGTTGACTTTATCGACTATTTTTCTATTACTCATNAGAAGTATTCTCTATGAAAAATTACTTATACATGTCAAGTTTCATCACGATCGTTTGAGCAATGTAGAAGTTTATCATTTACCAACCAACCAACCAGCCAACCAGACAACCAACAAACATCCATTTTTATATATTAGATTGAGGCTGTAAATAGATTTGAGTAAAATACAGTGAGTGAATTATCACAGATAATAACTATATTCATTGTAAACAGGATTATTCATGAATCTAAAGTTGGAAAAGTCCGTTCTTGGTAAAAGTGTTCTATTTTGATAAAATATTTCCAATCTTTCAGATTTCTTATCATTTCTATTTGCATGAATCAAATACTTGTTGTCATTATTTTATGTAACCGCATACATCCACAACAGAAACGATGTGTAAAATAAAGGTTGTGGTTTATGTGACGCAAAATTGTGTCTATTTTTGGAAGAGTTAATTTTCAACGAATCACGGGATTTATTATAGATTTGTTTTTACCCCAGGAGAAAAGTCCAAGAATGTAATTTCAAACTGAACTGATCAACTTGAGCTTATTGTCAATCAGTTCATTTAAGTGTAATTAATACAATGGAAAAGCCGAAGTATAAAGGACATCTATTCAAATCTATTAATAGTGTGATTCGTTGAAAAATTATTCAGTGTAGGATTCACTTATAACTTGGTGGGATGGTTTGAGATGGAAATGGTTTCAAGTAAAATACCATTTTCCGTTTGACTTTAATATATGTGTAATTATTTTACAGTTATTTTTGTCGAGTCTTCTTGGAATGCAGAACACAGTAATGATAGTGACATAAGCTTCACGTTAAGTCAGTTGAAATTTCTATCTTTTTTTAATTTGAGATAATTTTCGATCGAGATCAGCATGAAAAATGAGAAATGAAAATTTCTTAAAGAGTAATTTTTCATGAATTACAGATATGAGTCATGAATCAACAAGAGAAATACTGAATTAACAGGGATATTAAACAATGGCAATAGACGGGAAGTGTTTCGTGATTAGAATAATTTTTCAAGGTCAGACAACAGAGGTTAGGGGTACATTACTCTTCTTCAAGATGAAATCGAATAGTATTACGGCAAATTTATTGTCAAGATTGAGCATCCTCCTCGGGATTTATAGGTAACATAATTCGATTCTCGAAGCTATTCATTACTTAGTGCAGTTGGCATATTTTTTAGTTACTGTATTTTTAAAGTAAAAATATAAATTATCAGGAATTTCCACCCGCAAGGGGAAAAATAGGGGTTCAAAGATTGTATTGAATTTCGTCAGTTTTGAAGTTAAAAACCTGAAGTTTCGGGTTGTTGAAAAAATATTGTAATTATTTGTTTCAAATGGTCTATCACGAAACTTAATAAGACAAACCAAATTTTACGCGAGCGAAGCCGCGGACAACAACTAGCATAGTATATATAAAAGATACAATTTCACTCACATGGAACAATTTACTGTCAAGATTGAGCATCCCCCTCATACGACCAGAAAAAGTTATAATAACTCAATAGAGCATTTTGATACTAAAAAGCAAGTTAGCCTGCCCGCTCACTAAATCGCACTATACTACTTTTTTATTGAGGTATATCTTGAAGAAGTTTCTACTATATAACAGTGACACTCTTGAAATCTCAGAAAAAATAATTCTACGAGCACTCAGAAGTATAACGCCTCAAATGTAACGAAAAGTGTGAAGAAAAACGAGCTGAAATGGGTCTTGAAATGTTTGATAAATTAGGCTAGTGTACTTTCAAACAATTCGAGTGCAAGTTATAAGTTAATTTAGTTGATTTTGTTTATTCAATTAGAGAATTTGGTAGCTTGATTTCGTTAGTTTTGTTATTTTAGGTAATTTTGTTGATCGAATCACAAATAAATTAATATCATTGCTAGAGACCTCGAGTGACATCACATGATGTCTCTAGATTAGGTTATATGTTCGATTATGGCCACCTAGATACAATATTAAAAATATCTATGAAAAATAAAGTAGGCGTTAATCCAAAATGTGAAAATAGACAAGGTGTTTCATAGCCATTTCTGGTGTAAGTGAAAAANCAAGTTTTCAAAGAATATGAGAATTTTTTTTGAAGGACAAAATACTACAGAAAAATCCTTAAGGCGCTCTGAGAGCGGTGCCTGTGCGAAAGTAGCGATTCACATTGGATTTGAATCGCTGGAGATTGATTTCATTTGGAAAAATGTTCTTAGGACGTTTATTTCACATAAACACAGTTCTCCAAATGAAAGCGTTTTAAAACAGTGAAGTTTGAGGTGTACTGAGTCGAGCCTCAAAACGATGAGCAGCCACAGTCCGCCGCGTATTTCTGATATGTACCGCTCTTGGTGGAATCAAATAAGCCAAGTCACTTCCCGTGAAATTATCTATGGAAAAGAGACAAATCCCCAACCTTCCTTCGATGTTCCAGACTATCAAGGTTGCAAGTTCGCGTCTCCAATCAAGTGGATGGCTTTTTTCTGGATGGAATCCAGCAGCTTCAGGGTATGCTAAGGGGCGGAGCTCCATGAATGAGCTTTATCTGAGCTTTATAAAGCATCAACAGTTGCTGACGTGTGTACAGTTTTCTGGTTCCAAACAGTGTTTCAAACTTTTGATAAGCAGCCTTTGCAATTCCAGTGACATGATTGTGCCATTCAATGATCGCATTTTCGAAATGAGACCAGTAAAAGAAAAAGTCTTCAAGATAAATAGAGAAGTATAAAGTATATTCCGATTTAATAGATCTGGAACATGATTTTGGTCATGTAAATCGAGATGGCACATCGAGATAATTACAATAAAGAGGAACGCCAGTAGCAGTGACAACAAATATACAAAGCTACTTGATAACAAAATAAGAAACATTCGAGACAACATTGAGATGGGACCCTTATTTGCATTTCTAAGTCCTCTACATTTCATGGTAGGCCTAGATGAAGCATCGAAGGAAGCAAAGAAGAAAAAGAACTGATAACTTTACTATACTGATAATATATTAATACTAGCTAAGGATGATTCAGTAAAACAGTAAAAGAAATGAATATGAAGATAAATGTCCAAACAT